AAATAAATTTAAATTATTAAATAATAAAAGGATACAATGTAAAGTAAAATTTGTTGTAGTATGAAATGAAGGGTAAAATAAGAATTATGAAAAACTCTAAAAATCACACAAAATGACGGGTAATTATATTCACACAACAATTTTTTTAAATCTGCACCACATTTTAATTAAAAGAAAGGTTTATAATATTTGCTCACTTTTGCGTTATGTCCTCAAACTTTTTTTCTCGTCGCATTATCATTTTTAACATTCAATGATTGAATTTTATGAAAAGAAATAATTTTTAGTACCACTATTACTCATTCTTTTCCTTAGAATTCATTTTTTATATACGCTAACACTTTTTGCTAAAATTTTCATTAATTTTTTTCAACCAGAAATCTCTCAACCATGTCACTTAAGCTGCACCATCGGAATCTCATCTCCGACAGGTCAATTCCGTTCTCGTTTTCTATGCGCTCCCATATGGATATGAACAATTTGAGATAATTTTTAATTTCATTTTTCCAGTTTTTGATTTGATAGTTTGTTATGGATTACTTTTTTCCCGTTCAGCAATTAATTTAGTTTAGTTCATAAGCATAATTCATGTGAAGATTTTACTAGTTTGTGGATTGGTTTAAGTTTTTAGAAATGCTATTCATTCATTTATTGTTTAGTAGAAATGAAAAACCCAGTTTCTTCTCGTGACATGGCCTTTTTTCTCTTCTATAGTTGTGGTTTAATATTTCTAGTTCTATTTTCTACTTTTCAAGTTTGGTGAACTATCCTAAGTAGTTCAACCTTGAAATTACTCGTATTATACTTTATTTTTATTTGTTCTGGTTTTGAGATAACAAAGTTTGTAAATAGTATCTTGGTCTATATTTATTTGGTTGACACTAATATGATTTTTTTAAATCTATTTTGATATCATTTATATTTTAATAATTTTATATTGAAGCATTCTTTTCATAAAGCCACGAGTTATTTTTAATGAAGTTACGTTTTCAAATAAATGTGTACCATAGTAACAATTTTATTGCGATGAAAGAAATAGAAAATCAAATGTTTGAAATAGAATCTCTGACACACATAAATAAAAATAGAATAAATTAGGCGACAATGTACATTGTTGAAGCCACAAACTTTTTTTGTTTCCAAATAAATTTAACCACGAGCACAACTTGACACATAAATAAATATTCGTTGTCGCAAAATAATTTGCATAATAATTTTATATATTGTAGAATAAAATATGCGACATATATAAATAAACACGAAATAAATTGGGCAACAACTATAAATCGTTGCACAAATGATTATGCGATAAACTCTCTATGTTGGGAAATAAATTTAATTACAAACAACACTTGTTACATAATAAATTGTACTACAAATGTTGAATATATTAAAATATATTATGCGACATACCAAAAACATTGTAAAACATATTTCACGACAAACATTACTTGTTATTAAAGATATATTACTGCGAGTATGTATTGTCGCAAAATAAAATAGTTAACAAAAATTACACCTTTAAAAGAATATTCACAACAAACATTTTTTCTCGTAAAAACTTTATTGGAATAGTTGTTACTACAAATTGTCTTATCGCTCTTTTGTTTTTTCGCGACATTTATGTATTGTGACGACATTATAGCTACAAATATCGTGTTGCTCTTTTGTATTTTTTGCGTCAAACAAATAGTGTTGCGATTTTATTAATGCGATGAATTGTCAAAAGTTATCGCAGAATACATTCCGTGACATCGCAATAAACACATTTCTCGTAAAAACTTTATTGGAATATCCGTTGCGACAAATTGACTTGTCGCTCTTTTAATTTTTCGCGATATATATGTGTGTGTGTGTGTGTGTGCGCGCGTGTGTGTGTGTCGATATTATGGCTACAAATATCGTGTTGCTATTCCGTATTTTCGCCAATAAAATTAATAGTGTCGCGATTTTGTTAACGCCACAAATGGCCGAAAGTTGTTGTAGAACGCATTCCGTGACTTATATAGCGCGATAATACCCGCAACAAACATATTGTCGTTGCTAAATTACTTTTGCAACAAAATCTCAATTTTTGCAATAACATTTTTTTGTCGCGAAATCGGTTATTTTTTGTAGTGAACATTTTGGACGAAAATCATCCATAAAAACAAGATGTGAAAATTAATAGTGGATTGATGATAAAAAAAAAAAAGATTAAAAAAATTGAGAATATAAATGTAAAAATAAGAAACATTTAAGGATGTTCATGTAATTAAAATGTGGTGTAATTAGCAAAAATTGTGGTATGAATATATTTACCCCAAATGAATAATGTTATACCAAATTTGATGCAACACTATTTATTGCACCAAATTGGTGTAGAGATTTGATGTGTGGTTGTAGTAAATTTTTCATAAAATTTTCACGAAATTAATGTATGGTTGGAGATGTCCTGTTGGGAGGAGTTAAAATCGATTAGCCCAAAACGACAACAAATCTGTATGCTAAATTCAGAAACTATAACTGAAAATTATAACTCAAGTAAATAGAAATTTGTACTCAAGAAATAACAAGGAAAAACAATACAATAAACTGTAAAGAAACTCGAAACCAAGATGACCAAAAATAACCACACTTATCTTCTTATTAAGCCCACAGGCCACAAGTCTTCAAACAAGTGTTTCAATCACTCAAGAATGACCACCACCATGCTCGAATCAACCCAAGTTAAAGATACAAAAGTATAGCACTCAGACAAGGCAGATTATTACACAAAATAGGAACTCTCTCACTGATAATGCACGGTTCACACAAGAACCAACCTTCAAACAATGTAATCACACATGATTTACAATCTATTGAAGGGAAACAAGAAATCAAATAAGTAGATTTGATTTCTACAGAGAAGAGAAGAGAACACTCGAAGAAACGGCACAGGGAACGAGAATGGAAGAGTCGAGAAGCCAAAGTGAATCTTAAACCCTAGAAACCCGCTTTTATATGAGTCACACAACAGTCGCCAATCCAACGGTGTTGGAGGCGACACGTGGTGACATCTGAAGCGTTCAAACAACAGGTAAGTGAAACACGGTTTCATCAGTCTCCAAGAAAACACGTTTTTGCACCAACAACCAAACCAAACAGAACTTGAGCTGGACTTCAATTCCAGCTTGGGCCAACTCAATTTATGGCCCATTAGCCATTGCATCATTGTGCAATTTCCTTTCATGTCCTAATAAAATGTTGTTTGGCTATTCACTACAAATTGTACATCAGTCCCTGAGCGCTTCAATTTCTGCATTTTAGCCTTCGAATGTTCTGCATTTTCTAAAGTATGCAAATCTGTTCTTGTAGTTTCTAAAATTTGCAAATTGGTTCCCAAAGTTCCAATTTTCTGCATATCGCTCTATACACTTACTCGATGCTGTAAAATGGTCCCTTAAGTTTTAGTCTCATTCAAATCAGTCCACGTAATTTTTCAAAATATCCCAAATCAATCCCTACTTATTTTGCGCAGCAAATTGGTCCCTTTAGTTTTTGTTTGTTGTAATTCCATCACACGGTTACCAAAATCGTGCAAATCAATTCTTGGGCTTCTTATGTCCATGAACATGGTCCGATTGCCAAGTGGGCAAGGTAATAAGTAGCGTTCCTTTTAAAAATGTGAAAATTATATAGAACCTTATTTTTTAAGTTACCATTTCAAAAATTAAACTTGAAAGATTTCTATTCAAAAATCTGATGATAATTTAATTTTTAATATTAATAATAATATTATTAAACTAAATTAATTTACCACATTCACTTTACCCACCCCACAAACCTTAATTCATTTTGAAAAATATCAATCTCCCGTCTGCTTCATTTTACGCGACGAACCTACTTCGGCTACTCCTCACGACACTCACTCCGACGACTCATCACAGCCCAATAGCGATGGCTTTCATTCATGCGCGGCAGTTCATCGTCTTTCTGTACAGTGCAGATCCATTCTTTTTTCTTCTTCTTTTAATTTTTGAGTGGTGCAGTGGTGGTGATAGTGGGTTGGTTTTGCAATTGCGGTGGTGGTGGTGTGCAATATGGTGCGGTGTGATGGTGGGAACGGAGAGCTCTGTGCAGTGCGGTGTTGTGTACGGTGGTTGGATGCTATGGTGCTATGTAGTGGGGTTGGGTTGGGTGCTGTTGTGGTTGGGCGATGTGTTGTATGCGCGGTGGTTGGGTTGGGTACTGTGGTAGTGTGCGGTGGTTGGGTGCGATATTGTGTTGCGGTGGTTGAATGTACAGCGGTGGTGTGTCGTGATCCGTGGTTCGTGATTTGTAACGATGGTGCCACGGTGATAGTTTTTGTTGGATTTGTTAGTTTTTGGAGTGGTTGTGGTTTTTCATGTTTTAGTGCTGAGGTAGTTTTTGTTGGTGGTGATGTTACGATGGCGCTGACAGTGGCAGGTTAGGATGAAAGAGTTTGTGACCAAGTATTTAGCTGTTTGTGACCAACTATTTGGTTGATTTGTGATCAAGTATTGGTAGTGGATCAGGATCGAATGTGGGAGTGGGGTGTTTGGTGTATGTGACCAACTATTTGGTTAACTTGTGATCAACAATTTGGTTATTTGTGATCAACCGTTTAATTGTGACCTAAAATTATATAAGTTATGATTGCAAAATAATTCGTGACAAACTAATTTGAAAATCTGTAACTCACAAATATATTATGATCCTTAAATTTTTTGATTTATGACCGTGAAATAATCTGTGGCTTATTAATTTGATAATATGTGATTAATAAATGAGATGTGACTTATAAGTATGTACTTGTGATCATTAATTGTATATCATATATATAATTGATAAAATATTTATAATTACTTATTTATCATTTTTGAATTTTGAAATTTTAAACCTGAAAATTGAATTGGCTCATAATTAATACCCGAGTCGTGAAATTTTTCCCTTTAAAAATCACCCCGCCCACTGTTACGGCCCAAAGAAGCCAGCCCAACCCAAGTCAAATTGAGCCAATGCCATTAGGTTTTGTCCCCGAAACCCTACAAAATACTGAGTTTTGCTTACAGCGACGCCTCACACCGTCAAACGCAGCTGTTCTTTCAATCGTCGAAGGCGAAGTAATGTAAGTTTACTTCTCAGATTTTCATTTTCAACTCAATTTGATTTCAATCAATCTGCAGTTGGTATGCTATGGGAGTGTGTAGTTTTGTGCTATTTTCGTCTAAATGCGCATTTCGAATGGACGACTGAAATCATATGCTAATTATGAACATGGAAATTACTAACCGGCCTCAACCAAGCAGAGGTGGATAATGAAAGAAAAACATAATAAGAAAATCTGAGTCAAAAGTCAATTGATTAGCATATGCTGGTGTTTGCGTGTGTATAGTTGTCAATATTTGTAAATATTTATATAAATGCATTTTTGCCAATACGTTTGCTTGGAATGAGTGTCAATACCGAAATCTGAGATGAATGAATCACGTGCTGAATTCGGTTTAAATCACAAACCAAAAAAGGGGTTGAAAATTAGAAACAGATAAACTAGGAGTTAAATATGCAACACTGTAAATTCCAAAAAGTGGACATTTGGGTTATTGCAATTCTATGTAAGCAGTATAGGTGTTGGCTTTTATATTGAGTAGGTGATGAATTTTGCTATGTTTAGTGTAAAGATGGAGAAGGGAGGGGCCATTGTTCCGGAATCTATACTGAAGAAACAGAAGAGGAGTGAGGAATGGGCATTGGTGAAAAAGCAGGACCTTGAGTCTGCTAAGAAGAATAAAGCTGATCAACGCAAGCTGATCTACAACAAAGCCAAACTGTACGCAAAGGAGTACGAGCAACAGGTGTCTTAATCTTTCGCTGGTCTTCCATGATGTTAATTCTTTACAAACATATGTTTCTAATTGTGTTGTGCACTCTTATAATGTAGGAAAGGGAGCTGATTCAATTGAAGCGTGAGGCAAGGTTGAAAGGCGGATTTTATGTCAACCCTGAGCCTAAGCTGCTGTTTCTCATTCGAATCCGTGGGTACGTTCTGATGTTACCTTAGCAGACTTTACTCATTTTTATTATTTAATTAACTACACTGTATCTCACATTTGTATTCTTTTTCGACTCTCAGTATCAATGCCATGCATCCACAGACAAAGAAGATATTGCAACTTCTGCGTCTACGACAGGTTACTACCCAGTCTTTTATGTAGTTGTAATATTGTTTTAATTTCTAACAAAACTAACAATGACCAACTAGATGTCATTTATAACTTTTAGTGATACACTCTAGGGGGTGATTCCTGATTTATGCACCTTGCAGGAATAAATGATTTTGTTTTTTCAGCTAATCTTCACTTGTTGTGTTGCAAAAGCTTGATTGAAACAATGATCTTGCTTCAGTTAGCCTGAATGTCTTGACATTCTCTAATGCAAGTATTTCATCTATTGAAAAATGTAATACGGCTGTGATAACATTTTGGTTTATGATCTGATATTTCACTTAGACAATCTGAAATGAAGGATATACTTGGAGCCTTGAGCCCTATTATTTTCTAAGAATGCATTTTGGAATAGTAGATTGATGGAGAATGTATGGTTAAAAAATAAGGAAAATTTTTAGATTTACGTGTAGTATTATTTTATTGAAGATGTGGTTGAAAAGAAAAGAGAGAAAAGTGTATTTTGAAAATAATGGGGATCTAACAAGTGCTTGATGAGATAAATGTTTTTGGCCCTGTAGTGTAGGCATCTGATGGATTGGATTTTCACCCATTCTTAAGTCAGTTCCAATTATTTGTTCGTGGTTTTTTATTGAGTTGAATTGTGTTATAGAATGCAAGCTGGGTATGACATTATTTATGGTTGTGATGGTTCCATTATTCGGAATTTGTTTTCATTTGTCTTTTATCTCTTCTGTGTCAAACATTATCAAATTCAAACGGTGCTGGACAATGATTATTTAGCTCAGTATGAGGTTTCTTTGTTGTGGTTTGCACCCTTTACCCTTTAATGCTCAGCAATTGATCTCTTCATGCAGATTTTTAATGGCGTGTTCCTGAAAGTTAACAAGGCAACATTGAATATGTTGCACAGAGTTGAGCCTTATGTGACTTTTGGGTATACATCCGATCAATCGATTCTCGAAATTCTTTTTAAATTTTGCTTTCACTGTCTCAGACGATTACGATGTTCTTTGCTCTCTTTAGATACCCCAACCTGAAGAGCGTGAAAGAATTGATATACAAGAGGGGCTATGGCAAAGTCAACAAGCAGAGGATTGCTTTGACAGACAATTCAATCATTGAACAGGCATGTCTATATTGTGAAACTATTGCTCATATTTAGTTGCATTTTGAATAGCATTTTCGCTTAAGCTTACCTCGTGTTCAGGTTCTTGGTAAGCATGGAATTATCTGCATGGAAGATCTTGTTCATGAGATCATGACCGTTGGACCCCATTTTAAGGAGGCCAACAACTTCATCTGGCCATTCCAACTGAAGGCACCATTGGGTGGTCTGAAGAAGAAGAGAAATCACTATGTTGAAGGAGGAGATGCTGGAAACCGTGAAGATTATATCAATGAGCTTATCAGGAGAATGAACTAGATTTTGTTAACTTTATAGTTTTGAAGAATTTCAGGTTCTTTTTTGAATTTTCATATCACAGCTTGGAGGAATCTTCGATTAGCATTTCTTACTCAAGTTTTGAAATTTCTTTTTCCAGACACAAAGATTGAGCATTATTTTTGGTTTTAAGATTTTGTATGAACGTATACATTTTATGTCAGGCTTAGCCATGCACCGTATCGATTTAATGATGCTTTCATTCTTGATGGTAAAGACTAGAACTGCCCTATTGCAAGGGTTAATCCCTTTTGAATCGTTTGTTCAACTTTCATGCTAAATATGGCTGATAACATACTGTTCCTATTGCTATATCTATATGATGTTTAAGAACTAGGTCGCATTAAATTTTTTCCTTTTATTATAATATCCCTAAATGAATATTTCTGAGAGTGATTGGAGGAGAATTTTTAGAGAAAAGCAGTTGATAGTAAGAAGATTGAATTCTCTCCTTGTGCACACATATTTGACAATTGGAATCATCTATCTTCTACAGATTGTCTTGTTCCTCATGGTTTTCATAATGAGGTTGGTCCGTTTAGTTTATTGCAAATGTAGAATGATGCTGTGCCCTTAATCTTTGGGTAAGGTATTAGGAAGATGACAGTCTTCATTTGGTGATGATAGTGATTCAATGAGGTTGTTAGGCTTGAAAAGAAGGCTGGAGTGATGCAAAATCAGGAGTGAAGAAAAACAAAAAGGGAAAAGTTAGGCCCCATTCAGAAGATATGATGTTTCACACATCATGGAAGATATATCAGACAAATTATTACTTGATTCATTTAATGGCAAGGACAGGATAGGATAACAAGTAGTAGCATCTTATAGACACATTTATGAATCTATTAAGCTTGTTTCTAATGTAATCAAAACCCAGGTCTCAAATGAACTGATTATGTGTTCAATTGTTGATCAAAGGGAAGATCTTAGACTACTTATATCTAGCAAATGGCAAGGGTGGTGGGATAGTTGGTGAAGGAGCATTGTAGTGGTGATATTGTTCACTAATCAATTGAAGGCGTTCTTTATTCAGTACATTCGGTACAACGGTGTACTCCAATGTTAATCAAATATTGTAGAAGTAAGGGAAGTAGACACACAGCCAGCAAGGAATAGGGATGGGACTTTAAATCTTTTAGACTATATTGGTGGTATAGACCACCAAGACCAGCCTTCACACTCAAGCACACCCATTATCAAGAGAGGATTGAGAATAAAACTTGGCTTATGACTTTAAACCAGCTGTTACGAAGCTTCATCCCTGCTGCTGCTGCTGCTGCTCTCTCTCTCTCTCTCTCTCCCCGTGTGTGTGTGTGTGTGTGAGGATTCATTATGTTGTTATATGCTAGCATTTCATTCAATTCTTATTATTTTTCCAGAAATTTTGGGTCCATTCTAGTTGAAGCTTAAATGTTAGTTCATTCACTTGTCTTTCAGTGTTAGCTTATACTCTTTAAGGGCTAATCAGATGGTCATATTCATATCAGCTCTACATTTTAGTGTTAGCCTTATTTCTAATATAAATACAGCAATCAAATCCCCTATGGCTGTGGATCTTTCTGAAAAAGCTTCCTCAATATTTGGACATTGGTGATATATCAGACAGAATCTGTACAAGAACTACAGAACATGAATCTTTGGACATCAAATGTTTGTGTTATTTTCATTAATTGTAGGGTTTGGCTAGACAAGAAGATAAATGGGGAAGAATGAGACTATTCTTTTTATCCTGTCAAAGTTTATGAAGTAGGGATGACAAAAGGGTGAGAGTTACCATCCTCGTGTAGTCAGGAAATTTCGTGAGGGTATGCGGGTGAAAAGGGATGAAAAATCCCTATTTATCGCCCCGTATAACTAATTATTTATATTTTTAAAATAAAATTTAAGTTGAAAAATATAAAAATACAATAAAATAAAAAGATTTTGGACGGGTTCAAAAAATTGGTGTATGGAATATAGCCCCGTACCGTGCGAGACAATGCGGGTGAAACGGTAATGCAAAATTTTGGCAATCCTATGAAAGCATAAAAAATCTAAAACAATTCTTAGCTTTGTACTTAATTCTCAACAAGCTGTTCTCTTCGTGTTTTAGATTTTAATTTTGTGTTTTGAGTGTCCATTTTGAAATTGCTGAAAACGCGTTCTTTTTCTCATTTTGAAAAATTGTTTTCAAAAATAAAAAAAAAAAATGAAATTTTGACTTAGTTTTAATTGAAAACAGTCAAAACGATTTTTTTAGCCTTTTTTGTGTTCTTTTTAAATTTTAAACTCGTTTTTGAAAATTCGTTTCTCAAACGTGTTTTAGAAAACTGAAAACTGAAAATAGCCCGAAAACAGTAAAGAGAAGAGAATAGGCCCTATTATTATTTGTTAATATAAATTTTCAATCGAAGTTAATCTTGTTATTATCAATATCTTGATTTCAAAACCCGTAAGTATTTTCTCAATTTCCAAATTCCAAAAAACACATGGGGGAAAAGAAACAATAATGAAACTTTGTGGGCAAAATTAAAGATTCTCCCATCTTTATAGACCGGAGGTTAATAAGATCAATTTTGGCATGAACCCTAATTTTTTTTTTATAATACGCAGCAGGCCGAGACGGTAACCAACCCGCCACCCGATTCGGAATCGGATCTACACCGCACAGAACCGTTAGTTCACTGATTCAGTTCTTCATTTCTATCAATCTGTAATTGCTGTATGATATGCATCTGTGTGTTTGTCTGCAATCCTGACTAAATGTTTTTGTTAATTGTACACTTTAAATCGATGACTGAAATGATGTAATTACTTTGAAGTTAATAATTATTAGCCGACTTCGGTTTAAAAAAAATGGGAAAAATGAAAGAATCATATGAATCTGGATTAGATGTGTGCCATGTGTATACTGTATACATGTGTGTATTTGTGTTTGAGTCGCTCCTATGTGTTTGTTTACAATTGTATGTTAATACTGTAGTCTGCAGTCTGAGATGACTGAATCAGATTCTTACTCCGCGTTTTAGGAATCTGTATTTGAGTTCGGTTGTTCGGGTTGGTGTAATTTTATGCTAAGCAGAATAGAGGTTTCTTTTCTGAGTAGGCTATAGATTTATGAATGTTTGGTGTAGAGATGGAGAAGGGAGTGCCCATTGTTCCGGAATCTGTACTGAAGAAACAGAAGAGGAGCGAGGAATGGGCATTGGTGAAAAAGCAGGAGCTTGACTCTGCAAAGAAGAAGAAGGCAGAGCAACGCAAGCTCATCTACAACAAAGCCAAGCATTACTCAAAGGAGTATGAGCAGCAGGTATCCTTTTTAATACCTTTGGTTGTTCTTTGATGATGTTAATTCTTTACAGCATAGTTTCTAATTGCTGTGCTTATCATTATATTGTAGGAAAGGGAGCTAATTCAATTGAAGCGCGAGGCCAGGTTGAAAGGGGGTTTTTATGTCAACCCTGAGCCTAAGCTGCTGTTTCTCGTTCGAATCCGTGGGTATGTTTTGATGTTACTTTTTCGGAGTTCACTGAGTTTATTATTTAACTTACATTGTTTCTAACCTTGTTTTCTTTTCGGACTCATCAGTATAAATGCCATGCACCCACAGACGAAGAAGATTTTGCAACTTCTGCGTCTAAGACAGGTTGCTCTGCAAGTCTTTTATGTAATTGTAATTTTTTTGTTAATTACTATAGAAAATTAACACTCACCAACTAGATGTAATTTATAACTTTGCGTGATACACTTGGGGGAATTATTCATGATTTATGCACCTTACAGTAAATGAGGATTGTCTTTTGCTAATCTTTATTTTGTGTTCCGCACCTTGTTGTAAACAATGAGAATTGCTTAGCCAGTTAGCTTGAATGTCTCGACCTTTGCTAATGCAAGGGTTTTGTATTTTGTGTTATGGGGTTACTGTGATAACATTTTTGCTTGTGATTTGACGCTTCACAATGTATTTAGACTACATGAAACAAAGGATACTGGGTGTTGAGATAAACGGTTTGTCCCTCCAGAGTGTAGACGTCAGATGTTCCAAACATTCATCTGTTCTTAGTCACCAACATTTATTTGTTTGTGGGTTTTTCTTAAGTTGAATCGTGAGAATGCAAGTTGGATATATTATTTATGGTTGCTGCCTTGCTGGTAGTGCACTCATTATTAAGTTGAATTGCGATGGTCTTAGAGAATGCAAGTTGGATTTATTATTTATGGTTACTGCCTTGCTGGTAGTGCACTCATTTGGAATGTGAAACCTTTTGTGTTTACCTCTTTCCCACTTTTCATATTCAAACCTGCGCTGGACAATGGATAACTTTTTAGCTCAGTATGAGGTCTCTTTGTTTGTGCTTTGCACCCTTTACCCCTGTAATTCTCATCAATTGATTTCTTATAATGCAGATTTTTAATGGTGTGTTCCTAAAAGTCAACAAGGCAACATTGAATATGCTGCACAGAGTTGAGCCTTATGTGACTTTTGGGTATACGTCTGATCACTTCTGATCAAGCTGGCCTCTTGAACCTTTTTTTTTTTGTAAATTCTGTGTGTGCTGTGTCAAATGTTTACCATTTCCTTGGCTTTCTTTAGATACCCCAACTTGAAGAGCGTGAAAGAATTGATATACAAGAGGGGCTATGGCAAGGTCAACAAGCAGAGGATTGCTTTGACTGACAATTCAATCATTGAACAGGTACGTCTATTGTGTCACTTGCTCATATTTAGTAGTATTTTGTATTGCATTTTTGCCTAAGCTTGGCTTGTATTTAGGTTCTTGGAAAGCATGGGATTATCTGCATGGAAGATCTTGTTCACGAGATCATGACTGTTGGACCTCATTTTAAGGAGGCCAACAACTTCATCTGGCCATTCCAACTTAAGGCACCATTGGGTGGTCTGAAGAAGAAGAGGAACCACTACGTTGAAGGAGGAGACGCCGGAAACCGTGAAGATTATATCAACGAGCTTATCAGGAGAATGAACTAGATTTTGTTACTTTTATTTTGTTGGAGAATTGAGGTTTTTAGTTTCTTATTTGAAGTTGTAGAATTCTCTGTTTCGTTCTATTTTTTCCTGGATATCTACCATGCCGTTGAAAGATTGTTTTTGTTTGAGATTTGTATGTATCTATGTTAAATTTAAGGCGTAGCATGCATGGTATCTGTTTAATGTGAGGCTTTCATCTTCTCTGTTTTGATGGTCGAACTAGGCTTATGTTTCAACCTTGATGCTGTTAATTGCTACTGCTCTACCTTTACTTAACGAGCACGCCATGATTGTGTATGCTAGAGTATCTTCATTCATGTTTCATAGAGATATAATGAAGGTCTGAAGCAACGATGACAAATTTTGTGCGTTGGTCATTATAGTGCGTCACTTTACTGGGATGGATGGAACGAGGCAATGAAATTTGCTTTGGAATGAGGTTCATAAACTCACGCCTTTCAACAAGCGGACCTTCAATGTGGTTTGTCAGACTTTTTTATTCCTCCATGTCGGGTGGGATTACAATCTTCTGCAGTGGCAACTCTTACTCAAGCTGTAGCACCAGATGAAATGGCTAAGGTTACTGCAGCAAGAAGAAGAGAATGTACTTGCGATGGCTCCCGAGTCACTTTCTTGAGCTAAAGATTCGACTCTTCCTTCTATGCTTCTCTCTAAAGCCTCATAACTCATATTAGAACAGTTAGAAACTAAGGTCATATGATATGGATCAATTGGAGACGCCTGGTATTAGGAATATTAATATTTTCCTAGTAATATCTGATTATTCGAACATTCAAAATCTAGGGAAATATTGAAAACACTTTGTATATCGGTGTGTTCATACTATGCATCCATTTCTGAATTAGATCCCCCAAACTCCAAATTTTATGCTACTTAAAAATTAATCCAAGCAAAAAAGGGAAATTTCTCCTTGTTTGCATTCCTACCCAGCTAATTTGATTGTCTGCAAGAGGTAAATTCCTGGTTGGACAGATAGTAGTGCCACTTGATTCGAGTCGCCCTCCCTTAACTGATTAAAAAATCTTGCTCCGTAATTTTTTTTTTAGTCCACAAGTAGTGCCACGAGATTTAGAAGTAGACGCCACGTTCACGGCAGCCCATTTTTCTATTTTAACTAGTTCTCTCATATTTCATTAGGTCCTCTTTAAGTCTAAGAAACGGTATTTTTTCTTTTCAATTGTCTATGATACACCATTACAAGCATTTGGGACATTTAACCATACTAATGCTCCTCATTATTATTAGAGATCGTGATATTGAGTATTCTAATTCATTGTCCAATAATTCGTGATACATTTTAATACATTGAATAATAAATTAAGAGACTTTGAATGGTAAATAGCATTATTCTTTAGACGACTCTTAAAATCGATTGGAAGATGTAAAATTTGTTTATAATCAATTTTTTAAAAAAATTATTTATAAACGGGGGGTTACTTACGATGATTTTATAGCGAATAATGAAAGGTAAATTGGAAAAAAAAAAATACCACTAACATCAATTCAACATTACACACCATCAAGCAATAGCAATGCAGGGAACTTGTTTCAAAATCACAATCTTAGCATCACTGTTTCAATGGAGATCATGAATTTAGTAATTATTATTTTACAAAATCACAATCAATTTCTTGGAAAACACCTGATATTAAACTTCTTGGAAACTCAATTTTGACCATTTATAAATTCTGATAAATGAAGGAAGATAGATTTTTTTTTATTTTTCCCAATTCAATTTCAATATTATATTCACATTTTTACTAGAATTTTGAAAGTCTAATTTGTAATTTTTTTTTAATTTGAAAACTCGTGTCAACTCGATCCAGCCGAGCAAGACTTTCTAGACATTTTTCTCAAGAACTAGGCCATTGCTTGGTAACTTCCTTGCTGGCTCCGAGATTTTCACTTGCTTTGAGATATCTTGCTTGGAAAAGTTAAGGTAAATGTCAAGGATGGGTGAAAGTTAGGCCATCTATCTTCAATCTCTTATAAAGTCTTGTTATAATTTATAATTCCCTAATGAGAAAACTGAATGATCTGCCGTGAAGGTGACTCTGTACAAACCAACCAAGATCATTTACTGTACCTCATTTCTCCGTGCACCACACCGAGATGATTAGCAGATTACTAGGTTACAACTTACAAGACAATCGACTTGATTGGCTTACGAGGTTGTAAACTATGAGCTTGTTTGGAAATGATTAAAATCCAATTAAAATTGAAAATATAGTCATTATTGGATCTCACTCGTCTAATAAAAGTCAACCCCAACGGCTATATTTTCAATTTTAATCTGATTTTAATCCCTCACAAACAAGCTCTATATCATTTTCGACCTGTTGTCACCAACATGCTTAATGTTCCAAAATTTCCCTTGCAAGAACACACAATGAAAACCGAAAACCATATAACAAAAGAACCCTTTAGTGTATCAAAGAGTAATACTATGTAACACCAATCTAAGTGTCCATGTCAATACATGATATGACCAATTAAATGGAAATTATATATTTACATTTAATTGAATCTATCATTCATTGCCACGGGATGACACCGAGAACGATGTTAAAGATCACAGTTGATAGATAACATTTTCTTTCAAAGAATCAAAGATTCAAGAATATCACTTTAGACTACATAATTCTGTACACTAACCTTTGTTCTGAAGGAATCTGTACTTTCTGATAGTGAAAATGCAAAAGTTTCAACCCATACGTTTTCAGCACTTGCAGAGAACGTGAATAGCCCTATGATTTGCGATTGAACTGGCTACATCAGGCTGAATCTTCGCAACCCAATATAATTTGCAAGAGGGCAAAACAATAAATAATCACAGCAGGAAAAAAAAACATATTACTCTGACCTCATATATTAACAAGAGAAGTCTCAATATTCATAGTTTACAGACCTATGTAACTGCCTTTTAAGTGTCAACCAAGAAGCCTCGTACAGAGATTATGAGTGAATTAATTCGTGTCTGACATAAACAAATTCAATTTGTTAAGAAAAATGCACAACATATATGTGTAAAAAACTATGATCATGGGGGAGATGGACTGATTGGATTGTGTGCTTCAATATCCACGTGCCTAATACCGGGAACTATTTCTTGGATTTCTTTTTCAAGCCGATCTACTTCACTTCCCAGAGCTGTGACCACTTCTTCACCTGCAGAAGATATAAATTAACTTCTTATTCTGCAAAAAAGACAGAATAATTGCTTTTGTAGTATACATACCATAGTTTGACATGATCTTGAGTAAAGAAGAATCGTCCTCCAGCTTAGCAGCCTCTCGAAACTGTGTATATCATGATCATATAAATAGCCTTGATTAAATGCCATATCATTAAGTCTCGTGCACACCCAGAAAAAAACTTGCACCGAGATCAACGGTAAAAAAACTAGAATTAGTGGCTATGCAGAAGATACGAGTGTAATATATATTTCCTCATCATTACTACTGTTTGAAAGGAAGTCTTGGTAAGAAATGGATGTAAAATTTAATCTCATTGACCCAATAGCGCATGAAATAGGACAAAAAGGGAAATCAATAGAACCTTTCGTGGCTTTAAATGAAACAAGTAAAAATATAAAGGATGCATAGAGCAGTTTCATATAGAATCATGGTTTCTAAAATGTATTTCAGCAACCCAAGAGGTAGACAATGCAAAAGCAAACATCAGAGAAGAAAATGAAAAACAACAATTTTACATTCACTGCAAAAGAGAGACAAAAAGTTAAGTGATAGCACAATCACCTCTTTAGCCCACTCTTCACGTCCAGTTCGGTTTAGATAGTTTTGCACTAGCACCACACCATTGAAATCTGCAAATAATATCAAACCATTTCTCAATTAGGATCCTGGTAATCAAAGATACCTATGAAGAAACACAAACTGTAATTCATATGCAAATATTTACAGTTTACAACCTTGCAATATAAAAGTAATTTCTACATTAGTTTTACAATTATGAAGCAAGGTTTCACCTATTTCAGCTTTGAATCTAAAAAATCCTGGTCCTATCACCTCACTTTTGCAATCATAAACTGAATCAACGACCTGCAGCAGAAAGGCCATTTTGGTTAGACTCTAGTTGTCATCTGTCTCCCAATTAGCACAGAAAGAGCAAAGAACTGCACTGTACTGGGTCATTTTTCAGAAAGTGAAGAACTTTTTCCATATCATGGTCATCAATTGCTCTCCCAATCAAAGCATGGCGATTCCTCTGAATCAGAAATATAGCGACCTGTATCATATTAATCAATCAATTAGACTCAACATGGCGAAGGCCTTTCCCCCCTTTATTTCTAGATGTGGGGATAAAAAAGAACAAAGTACAGATAGAGGCATTCATGTCAGGTTGCCAAAGTAATCTTATCAAAATGGAACGGGCATCAATCACACAAAACAAATATCATTCTCTTCTCCAAAGTACAAGTTAATAGCAAAACAGACTCTGAAAAACACAGGTAAAGTTTTACAAGCTCCATCTTTTCTCATCAATCTTCAATTAGCTCCATAATTGTATTCCAATGTCAACATTAGAGGACTTCCAGCTGCCATTATGCATGTATTAAACCATTTGCATGGGAATTTATGTATCATCACGCAGTATAATTCCATATATTAAAACATGCGCTGCAAGAATAGAAAATACGAATTCGTATTCTGACATTTCTAATATATAAATGAAGGTGAAGAAAATTCCATGAATGCAAACACAGTAACCTGGTGACCGACACATTAAGATGGTCAGACTTTTTAAACAGTCCAATTAGCAACCTAGTCTAAATAGCACAATAGCTTGAAATCAAGCTCAAAATATTGAACCAGAAAGATTGCCATCAATTATAATCTGTTACTTTTTAAACTAATCATTATCTTGAGTGGATCATTCAAAAGCTCAAAAGCCATCTCTTTTAACAATGTAAACCTGACAGCAGTTGCCACAAAGTTCAGTCCTCAATTGAACAGCAAATCATTTAAAGTGTGAGAGTAAACAAAATCAAAACGCAATATGCACATTAACATACCATTCCCAATAGGTTGCCCACTACAATTGAACCAATTGGATCATAAATTGCATTTCCTGTGGTATTTACAGCCACCAATGAAGCAGCAGCAATGGCAAGCCCTGTAACAGCAGCACCATCCTGCAGGGTTCACTTCATTTAACATATTACTTATGAGGAAACCAAAACCAGTAGCTTGAAAAGACAAGACTTTCTATGGAGATTGTTTCTGACTAGTTAAATTATTGTGCAGTAAACTTGAGTATAATGTGAGATGATTATAAATCTCTAAAAACCTGAGGGAACTTAGAATCTTTTAAATGACCAAATTGACAAAAATTTCACTTTAAAGTAAGAGCTCAGAGAAATCTTCACCTTTTCAATTTATAACTATCATCGACAATGATTATTTCTCAATGATCTGTCGGAAAGCCTGACACTCAGCATAATTCTGTTACTAAATGTTTAGAGTTCATAATATTTGTAAGTAACCTTTAACCACACATTAGCTTTTGTTACCCTCAATCTAGCACATATGACTGCCAAAGCTTTACAGTATATATCTGTTCTTCAATTTATTATGGGAAAATGTTACAGCATGCGATATTAGAGAGGCTTAAAGAAGTACTGTTGACCTTGTACCTTCATTTTGGATTAAGGAAACAGGAGGTGGAAGTAATAGTACCATATGAATCAAATAAAAAAGCTGTAGCGAACATATAATGAAATGGAAGGTGATTTATCCACTTCCTTTCTGCCTTATATTCCTATTGTTTACAGTTAATCTCATCTCCAAAGCAATTAGTGTTTCATGAACTAAGAAAAAAATTAAATTCTATTTCCTGATAGCTGTGCAAATAAACTACTATTATGTCCTCACTTGCATTATTACCTTACAATGACTCAAAATGCTCGTATGAATTACTATGTCCTAAAAATCAAGTTAAACAGACAAATTGATAAAAATATCAGCTCATGTATCTCTAATTATAAAAAACGAACTATTTGAATGGTCAAATAAACGACATAACACCTCTGTCATAACTGCAACGGATGTAGGATCATGACCACGCCAGACATAGTCTCTCACTTTCATTCCTTCCGCAGCAGCACCTTTTCTGACAGCATGGATGGCAACAAGAAGAGAAGCACCTAAAACAGGTTATAGCAAATTATAAGAAAACACTACTTAAAAAAAAAACTTAAAATCCTTTTTTGGCTGAGTTTCGAAGCCAGAATTATCAATTAGAAATTTCACCTTCAATAATGAAAGAGCCACCAATCACCAGAGCTGCATACTCAATATGCTCAGGGGGCTAAAAGGAATATAAATCTCCATCATTGCACATCGTAAGAAACCACTGTTTCAAGGAAGAAAATAGTTTCAAGTTGAATTTTAAGAATGAGCACCTGAGAAGTCCACAAGTTTTGAACTCCATGAACAATTGTAGCCCCAGATCCGAGACAAAATATACCAACAGCAGATATCAAAGACCAGACAAATCTTTCCTTAGAATAACCATATCTGCGATTTAATAAAACACAAGATTCAGCAGGTTTATATCAAAGTTCATGTGTCTGCATAAACAGATGTTCTGATTGATCAAATAGAATGCAACAATAGCCGTTTAACGGTACAAGGGTTCTAATAGTTCTAAAAAAAAAGATATACTACATATATTGAAGTCATTAAACAAATATTGATAATTTTCATGGACAATTTTAAGCCCTGGGTGATACAGACAACCAAAAGATGAAATTTAATTTCCAATAACATGATTGGAGTGAACCTGCCAAAATAAAATAACACTGAGATCTTTAAGTTTAATCACTTATGTAAAGTTCAATTAATTGTCGTATACTGTAAAGTCTCAGAAGAAATAATTTCTCTAAATGCAAAAGTCAAAGAACATTATAGTTCATTGCGTACAAATGTAGTTCAGATAAATAAATACAAAAACTTACGGGTGGAGAGCATCTGGGGCACGGCGTGAACTACTTAAACCATATGCAAGAAGTGCCTAAAAGGTAAGCATGTATTAGATTCCCTCTACTCGATTTTTGACAAATAAAGTAAAACCCTGGCAGTACGAATGCTCATTCCAGCAGGATTGCAAACATGAAGAATAAAAGCATTACCTGATTTGCAAAATCTGCAACTGAATGCACAACTTCAGCCAAAATGACATGGCTCGAGGTGGATAACCAGACCCCAAACTTGAGAGAAAACACAAGAAAATTGCACCACAATGCTGTTGTAACTGCTCGTTGGCTAAATATAAAAAAATTCAGGGGCAATGAAATCATGCCAAATAATTGACCAGTTAAAAGAAAAAGGTGCACCATCTGAAATGCTTATCTAACACCATTAGTAGGACAAGAGAAACAAGCAACTCAGTGGACAATCTTTACCTTTTCATAATTGATTAAACCCAAAACTAGATAAAAAGAATAAATACAGCGAGCCAGTTTGTCCGATGCTACATGGTAAGCAAGGAGCTAAATAAGAATGCTTAAGAAAGGCAATTCGCTATTAATAAAATATTTTTTCCCTTTTAGGAGCCCTTTTAATCTTAAACCCGCATTCTTAATAAGCATCAAAAGTAGTATCTTCACCAACAAACTTGATAACAAATAAAACTAATAAAACTGCCCTTTTTGAATAGCATACCATCAAAATTCAAGAATGGAATATAATTCTTTTCACAAGAAGCAAAGTTAGTAGTAATATATCGGAACATCAGCTAGAGATCACAGAGGCAAACAAATGCGAAAAGAAAATAGAAATTACCCATGATCGACCACTTCAATCTTCTTAATCTTTTTAGCTCTAGTGAAAAATCCTGCACGCACAGCCCAATGTTGAAATATATAACTACCAATTCCAAATTAAAAAGAACAAAAAGCAATACTCACCTCGAGCAAGGGAGAGCTGGCGGGAACTAGCATTGAGTGCAATGAAATTGGAAACTGGAATAGCTCTACACAAAGAATTAGCCGCAGCAAAGTTCCGAAGTTGAACAGGAGATGCGATAAATCCCTGAGCTTTACTAAATCGATGAGGACAGACATTATATTTATATTTATTAGAGCAAAAATTGAATTCATTCCACTTTGAAGAAACGAATTTCTTCGGCTCGGATTCGGGTTCCGGCGAAGAAAACGGAGCATGAATTTGGGAGCTAAAGGCGGAGTAAAGGTGGCGCTTCCGATCGTACCAATGGTTGCGAAAGCGACAGAGAGAAAAGGAGTTCCGCATTACTTCTGCTATTAACAATAACAACACACCGATAATGCTATGTACTGCTCATCTTTTTCTTTGAAAAATGGGTTTAGGTTTTCACTGTTGGGATAATTATGTTCAGTGAATGTTATGAGATGCTATCCAGACGACGGCGGCGGCAGTGGTGGCGCACTTGCCAGTGCTGCAGGGAAGGGGTTAGAAAGAAAATTTTATTTTAACCCCAACTCTCATTCACGGAAGAGTGAAGACCAGTCTTTTAAGTGCCTGTTTGCCAATGCTTTAAAAATTCACTGCTTAAAAAGAAATTAATTAAAATAAATAAATATATTTTATTAGTTAAGATTCAAATAAATAAGTTTTAACCTATATAATATTTTTATTAGTTAAAAAATTAAATCAATTAATGAAAACGTTTCTAAAATGAAATATTTCAAATTTTCGTACAACTTTTGCTTTCATTGCATTATTTGTACTTATATTTTTCATTGTGATCTTATTGATCGACTATTCCACAAACAAATATAATATACTCTTTGTCGTGATCTAGAAGAAGGAATACTTTTTAAATTGGAGATACCATGTGTACAGACATCTACAAAGAGGTAATACTTGAAATCAAGCCTTCGACTTTATAAGACTATTATTTTTTGATTATTGATCATGTTTGTCGATCTTTATTGTATCCGCTTGTGTTACTTCTAGCTATTTTTGTTTTAAATTAATTTTACTTGAAATGTAGTTCTTTGCTTCCACTTGACGTATATCTTTAGATAATTCAATCTGAAAAGAGTCATTCGTTGATGAATGATTATATTGTTGAAGATTATTGGCAAATAATTGTATCACCGTGAATTAGTTCTAGAGGATTCGAGTCCTTTTAATTGAATAAAACGGTGTTTTAGCTAATTTAGCATCTACATATGTTTCGTGCTGATGATTTTGATCAAAGGAAATAGAAAGCAATAAATCTAAATTTACTAATTTACAGAAAGTATTAACATTTACATGTCATAACCTATCATGCCATAAGTTAGAAGACTCAATCAAGCAAGTAGAAGATTTATTTTTTTTAGTATCAAAATCACGGATTACGGGCATTACATTCATTTTGAATAACCCATTGGCTAAGTACCCTTTACCTACAAACATACCATTTTTTTGTTAGTACAAATTTGTCATACTCAAATACTAGCCTAAACCCATTTTTGCTTAACAAAGCTTCAGATACCAAGTTTTTGCGAATATCGGAAACATGCAGCACATCGATGAGTGTTACTTATTTCCTTAATGTCATCTTCAACACTACTTTACCTAGGCCAACAACTTTTGATATTGTCGAGTTGTCCATGAATAGTTGCCGTCCATTGATAGGAGTGTAAGATGAAAACATCTCCTTATTAGCACAAACGTGACGAGTAGTGCCAGTATCTACGAATCATTCTCTCGGATTGTCCACCATATTTGCTTCAAATACAATAGTTGAGAGCATTAGTTCAGACACGCCGTTAGACAATCTGTCTTCCTCAGTTAAGTGTACTTGATCCTTTTTGTTTTGCTTTTTTTGTCGGCAGTCCTTTGCAAAGTGACCGGGCTTACCGCAAATATAGCAATCTCCTTTGAATTTTTTAGCCTTGCTCTTTTGCTTGCCATTACCCGAATGCTTCACTTTCTTGCTAGTATTTGGCCTCATCAAATTAGCTTCAGCCTCCATTTGCAACTTTCCAGATTTATTTTCAAAATTGCGATTATCTTCCTCAATTCTAAATCGTACAATCAGATCTTCAAATCTCATTTCCTTGCGTTTATGTTTCTTGTAGTTCTTGAAATCTTTTTACATTGGTGGTAATTTTTCGATAATTGCAACAACCTGAAACGACTCACAGAGCTTCATACCTTCTGCATATATATATCGTGCAAGATAATTTGTAACACTTGTACTTGATTCATTATTGTTTTAAAGTCTACCATTTTGAAGTCCAGTAATTTGCCTACAACAAATTTCTTCAATCCGACATCTTCCGTTTTTTATTTCTTTTCTAATGACTCCCACGGTAATTTAGTTGTCTTGACTGAACATTATACGTTGTATAATGTGTTGTCAAGGCAATTGAGAATGTAGTTCATGCACAAGAAGTTACTATGACCCCATGCATCAAATGCTGCTCGTTTTTTAGAATCTGTTTCATCCTCCTCAACAGTTTGAGCATTTTCACTTAAGAATTTTGCCAAATTCAGAGTCGTGAGATAGAACAATATTTTTTGTTACCATATCTTAAAATTCACTAGAGTGAATTTTTTCAATTTCTCCTCGTGAGCATTATTAGTGGGTACGACAGACATAGTATTGCTTGCCATTATCGTCTTAAGATTGTTGAAGATTATTGGCAAATAATTATATCACCGTAAATTGATTTGGACAGAATAACGTCGTGCAAAATGAATGCTATAAAAATGTTAATGGTCGAGGCAAGAGTTTGACTCTTTCTCCTTAAGACGATAATGCCCTTCACTGGTGCTTACGATATTTCGGCACTCGTCTCCTAGGAAACGACGACATCGACTTGTAATAGTAGCACTACAAATTACAAGACATGGCAAACCTACTCACGTTTTGATCTCTCAAAAAAATTTGAGGACTAAAATGAACGAAAATTATTTTTCGAAGTTGGATTGCAAAATATGAATAATGTAGGGACGAAGGAATAATTTCAGAAGAAGAATAAAATCATAATTGATTTTGGATTGAATGAAAATCGTGATATGGAAGCCTACTTATAGAAGTTGAAAGGTTTTGTCCAAAAAACACATCCAAAAAGCGGTTTATTTTCTTCTAGCTTTCCTATGTGAGATTGACACTTTTTCAATTTCCCACCAATTTTTATTCCAATTTATTTCAACTTCAAGTGGTCATCTTTTGGCCTTAATTTCTTATTCAACCTAAATTGGTTTTGAGAAAATAAGTACATAACATTAATCTATTCATGGAGTAAAATACACTCGACCAAAGAAATATTTTGCCTAATTAACGGGATCCACTAAAATAATTGGTTAAAAATTGATCCAACCAACTAATAAAAACAAATTTTCCCAACATATATAACGACTAATTATTCTACACTTCTTTCTTGGTGGGGCTTGGAATCAAATATCCCTTCATCGTTCTTCATTTGATTTTGATTGTTAAACCAAGGCTAGAAGATGGTGCCCAACACCCGCCTAAAAGCTTTCTACTCAATTTGGTGGCTTTATTTTTTGAAAAAATAAAATAAAATTGAAGATAAAACTCAAACCATTTCTTGTCACGTAGTCAAATTCAATGAATATTAGGATTAATGCAATATATTTGAATTTTTTTCACTTCCAAGAAAAATAAGAAAGAAATGAGCACAAAAACATGACAACAAATTAGAAATTTATACATTAATTCTCTTATTTGCTATGATTTTTTGGAGAAATTTATGGAATTTTCAAAATTCCTCTAATGGAAAAAATTATAGCAACCCAAATTCTATGTTGTTATTGATCTAGAGTGACAATAATAATCCGTCTATGTAATAATGGAACCATTGTATCATTACCCAATCTAATACCGACATGACTAGCCCCGTACAAATCTATTAGACTCGAGAAACGTGCACAATGATGGATCAAGCTAGATGTCAAACCCACCATCATGACTAATTGTTATATGTATTTGACTTTGAAAAAATTAACAAAATTTAGACAATGTATCCTCTATAAAAGTGATGAAACCAACCTGAAAAGCAATAAGATTCTCACACATATACGAACTTGAATAGTATTACTCTTTTCTATTTCGATCTTCAACTATTTCCAAGGGGATTTCGCGCTACAATAAATATACGAATTCAACTCCATCATGAACAATGACACAAGTTACGAAGGAAAAGAAAATAGTACATTTGAATCTCCTTCAACATGGTCCTTACAATTACTCACTTCCCCATACCAAAACTATATTCCTCACCAGGGAGGCAAGACATTTCCAATGAAAATACAAGTAGCTATTATTTTAATCAGTAAAATCTTGTAATTTATGTTACAAGTAGAAGATATTTGAAAGACGGGGAGTTTAATAGCACATTCATAAGGTAAATTATCCTAATAATAAAATGCTGTAAATGTGAACTTTTTAATGTCATGTACCTGATCCGCAAGACTCGAATCCTTTTGTCTTCAAGATCTTCAGTTCTTCATGTCAATAGAGCCTTGAATTCAGAAAGGGAATCGATGAACGATAACAAAATTTCCTAATTGCCTCTAAAGCGGCCTTCTTTCCTAGCTCGTGATAGGGTCTCTGAATTATGTTGTCCTCCTGAGACTCCCAACTTCTCTAACTGGTCATGCCGGGTGACTATTTTTATAGGGTGTGCTTCCGTGTTAAAAACCCACTCGTCCAATGAAATGGCTGAAGGAGGTGAGAAAAGAAGATAGAGATATTTAAGTGTCTCCGCAAGGAAAAAACTTTGCATCATGTTGTCTTTTACACCAGTATTAACCTGTGAACAATAAAAATCACGAGTGATGAAGAAATGGTTTCATTGTCCTCAACAGCCACACCCCACCCATACCATCTCACCAACACCACCTGCCGCCACTTAAAACCTGTATGAGAACACAAGTTAAGATGTGCTTACATCCTTTAATCCAACATATCCCGTCTCTATGCGGGAGTTCTTTTCAAATGCTTGAAAGATGTTCCATCCCCACTCCTGATATGTTTTATTACCAGTCAAACGCCAGAGGTAAAAGAGTGATTCAACTGTCTCAGGCCTCAATATGTTCCATGATGTTCCCACACTTATATCCTGAAAATTGAATGATCAGAGAAACAAATAAAAAAGCAAGATCCTTAATTAGGAGTTAGGACCTAGTTTTTATAAATATCAGAAACAAAATAAACAAAGACTACCTGTCCCGAATTGAAGAAGTAGTTCTCTCCAGCCAATTTTGTTGGTGTTGATTGGTAAAAATTATAACATGTCCAAGCAAGCTTCACAAGGAGGTCACAGGCATTCCCCCAAAGTGAATGGCTACCCACTATGTACAGCATTTTAAATAGGAAATTTTGAAAAAAAATATTTGTATATATACCTCTTCCGCCAATGATAAGAACTTCCTAGCCTCATCAGGACCATAGCCAGTAGACCCTAATGCTAACATCCCTGGAGCAAAACATGCAAGTTCATCCATCTGCAAATATAACAAAGAAAACACACAAACCATTGAATCCTTTTCCATCATGAAAAAATGGATACAAATTTTGTAATATTACCGACTAGCACAAAATATCACCTTGTCTGTCAAAGAATTTCCAATCTTCTCACAAAGATATGAGAAATTAGAAGGGTTTGTTTTCCGAACCAAGCTTAGAAGACCTTTCATTGAAGTCTCCCACATTTCTCTGGTAGATACATAATCGTTTATTAGAAAATTAGAGGAAATGAATGATACTAGAACAATTGAATTACGGAATCAGGCTTTAGAAAACAAAGTCAACCAACCTTCCTTGGTCATGTATAAATCTACGGCATGCGATTTTGTGATTCATAACGATAGTATCAGTAATAGCTGCTCACCTATAATGCTTCACCATGTCTGTTTTGTTTCCTTGTATCCAGACCTTGAGTAAATATTCATAAAAGCTGCAATATATTTTTTCCTTTCGTTACATGGTAGAAAAAAGGGGGTGGTAATGACTATCAACCCTACGGGTAGATATTTATTATATATACTTCATAAGATGTACATTTTAGCATGTTCACCTAAAGCTTTCCAGAAGTAGAATAATTAATACCTGTCTCCCATAGCTCCAAAAGTTATGGTTGAGTATGAACTGGTCCCGCTGTGTGGATTAATATAGATAGGAAGTAAACCATCAGGAGGAAAAGTTTTATTAAGCTCTAGAATGACATCTTCCACCTGAAACATATAACTAGAGCTCAGTTCATGGTGAAAGATAAATACCAAATTCACGGGGAAATAAAAATCAATTACTGATTCTATATCATGCAGATCCAGATATCTTAGCTATGAACTCAAATCATGTGTAAAAGATGCATGTAAACATCAATGACAACTTTTCATTTGATGTTACTTTCAATTTCTCTTTTAAGGAACAATTCTTTCTTGAATGCCAGAGTAAACTTTGATCAAGAATACCTTCTGCTGATATTTTGGGTCGCCTGTCCTCTGGGAAAGAGCAATAAATTCTAGCTGCTCTGTACCAGAATCTGCCAAGATACTATCACCCTGAACAAGGAAACATAAGAAATTATCTCTCTTTAAGACACATTAAGTGATGTAAAGAAAAAACTACGAGTCTATGCAGATGAACAGACTACCACTGTACCACAGGGCACAGATTCTAGTTTGAATTGATACATATAGGAACTTGTGTAGGTTAGTTTTTTTTTGTTGAGAAAAAGTAAAAAGGATCAATGGGACTGAACTGAACAATGATATAGAACATAACAATAAGCTGAATCAACAATTTAATTAAGGAAAACAAAGCATAGCAGAATCATGATGGAGGCTTTCGGTATCAAATCATCACTAACCAAGTAGCACCTAAGAAAACTGTAAGTACAAAATAATACACACATGTCAAACACAGGAATAAGGTAACATGTATGTCCCAAAACTATGAGGTTATGTCAACTGATTAAACAGGATATTTAAGCAGGCATTCAAATACTATAAATAATATAAAAACTTAGCATTATTAAACCAGGAAGTTTACGTCTTGTGAAAATGAGATAGTTTTCATTATCAAAACTTACCCTAGTCCACCCCGGATTATGAGGATTTCCATGAGCCAAGTTAATAATATTATATGGGATGCCTGAAGGAGTATTCCATGCAGGCAGTAGTCTATCGGCAATGTCTTTAGCCTTTTCAAGGAATATTTTATCTCCAGAGAGATCATATGAACTGATAAGTCCACCTACAACTCTGAATTATTACAAATAAAACTATTAGCATAAAAAAAAGACAAGACAGAACCTTAAAGAGTATGGAATACTCTTCATGAGCACATAACTCTTGGTTAAGGCAGCCCGGCAGTATTAGCAAATTTACATTTGTCAACCAGGAGAAAAAATAATCTAAAGCAAAACAATGGCACATTAAACCTTATAAAGCCACCTTATGGTTGTCTCGAAAACACTGGCGTCATAGTTCTTGTTGAAATCCAATGAGTTTGCAACCCACCTGCCATGAATACTTGTTAACAGCAAAAAATGGACATAGGAGTTATATGATTCTTATCCATCAAAAATAAACTACTCAGCTCCGTTGCACGAATACTTCAACTAGGATGAAGTGTTCGTGTCTAATACCGACACTCCTCATTCACTCTATCATTTCATTTTTCTTTCTTATAAAAAATATTATATATTGTCAACTTGAAGTTATTATAAAATAACAAATAAGTACGCATATTTAAAAGATTTCAACAACAAAAAATTAATAACAATTATAAAACTAAATTTATGCTACATAAATAGAGAATTGTAAAGAATTTAATCAATGTGTCGGCAACGTATCGTGTTAGTACTTTTTGGAAAAATATGTGTTGTCGTGTTCAGAAACGTGTCATATCGAACACACTTGTCCATGTCAATACATTATAGCTACCCAGAATATAAAAGTGAAGAGAACTTTAATGGGAAAAAGGAAAACGACATAACTAAGCAATCTTATCGCAATAATTTCCCTCTTAGCTACATTTTTATTCTCATATCATTTTGTCTTCGAAATGATAAATCAACTTTTGCTCCTGAAAACTTTAAGGAGAAACAGAATGAAGTATCAACCTTAAAGGCAAGAGGTATTAGAGAGAAAATAAAGAAAAACAAAGATGTATTGTACTAATCTATATGATAGTAGGTTTACTTATTAAGCTATCTTTTGCAATGCCATGCCAAATGCTACTTTTAAGGCTATTATAGTGATTATCCATCAATTAAGACTTTACATATAAATGGAGAAGCCAGCCAACAAAAGAGGAACTGAAAGCCTCATGACTATGTTCCATGTTATGCTAACACTAATTCAAAATTCCCAAACCAAGTCATTCGCATTCTCTTGTGAAGCGATAACGTTATAGAATTGATTCCAATGTGAAAGATAGACTCAAAAATAAAAAGAGAAAAGACTAAGTAGAAAGCGTGTTTCTACATAGGAACAAACAAAAAGAACTATAGACTTACTCTCGGGCCCTTTGGAACTGCTCATCCAGTCCCATTATATACAGCGTGTCGAGAGAATCAATTAAAGTTGCTCCAAGACCACCAAAGCTGTCAACACCATTCTTTGTTTGTGGCTGGTGACCAAAAATATGAAAATCCAGTCAAATATCGTGCAAGTAGAAGATAATTCCAGTGTAACTTCTGCTTTTCCTGGCTTGTCTCCCAGTAAAACAATTAAAAGATGAAAAGATACATGTCATAGTAAAGACATACCATAATGCACCCATTCAAAATCAAACCTATGGAGGTTACAGCTACACTATCAAAATCAAATGTTAGAAATTGAAAGACAGGGGAACTGGGGGAAATGCACACAACCAAAAAGAAAATATATGCTAATAATTTAATCTGTATATTTGGCTTTACTCTTAAGTCATATTTGGCTTAAGAATATAAAAAGGTTTACATTTGTGTACAAAAGCTTGAAAAGAAATAAAGGATATAATCAAAAGAGAATGTAACGAACAGACTGACCTATAAACTGACACCATGTAACTCAAATAAAGTACAAACAAGAGATCACGGGCAAATAAACTACTGTTAAGAACAATGAAAGACCAAAAATAAATGCACCGGTGATATGTAAATTACATCTTTCTGAAAGTCCTCATGGAGAAGAGAATAGTGCTTATAGTCAAGTAAATCGTACACAAGCAAAACTAAGGTTCAAATTCAGTGTATGACGGAAAACAACCTTATGAAATTATACCAAAAGATGAGAGAGAGAGAGAGAGAGAGAGAGAACACAAAAAGTCTGTACCTAACATGCCCTGCTCATACTAGTTCTCTCGTATGATAAAATCAAACTAGACAATGGCTCAGAAGGTTCTGAGCTAGAAGTTAGAACTCTGATGAAAATCACATAATAAATAATAATGCTTCTATAAATTGGTCCAATTCAAACATAGAAGCACCCCAACACAATTGAAGAGCCAAAAAGGGTAATGAAAATTAGCAAAATTATACATTTGCATGAAGCTGCAAATAGAAATACAAATCATACCTGTAGTTCGTCTTGACCCCAAGCATATTTCTCATATGAACTCCATGCATGAATCATAGCATCTCTAACTTTCTCTCTTCGCTGAGTGTCAATAGGGTCATCAGAAACATTTGATTTTCTATTTGCACTGTTGCTTTTCCCACTAGTGCCGGCCTGCCCTATAACACTTTTATCATCCTTAAACTCTCCAAGCTGCAGGCACCAATCAAATTAATATTTCATGCTTATCTGAAAATAGATGATAAAATGAAAGGGGAAGTGTTCGATTTTGATTCCTGCAATCCCAAAACTTTGATGATTCCAAGCACTAAGTTTTGAGAGCTACTAGTTTGTGCAGGTGACAAGTTTCAGATTAAAGGACTTCAGAAATTTTCGAGTGAGATGAAGTCCTAAATGTCCGCAAACTGATTCTAAACATCCATAGCCAATTAGAAACCCCCATAATTAATTTAACAGGACCAAACTTGAGTTCCAAACTTATGAACCGATTTTTCCACAGCTCCAACTGAATTTGTAAGCAAATGAGTCAGCAAATAGGCCCTAAAATCTATTTTCAATTTAGGTACCAAAAGTATATTAGAAGTCTAATACTAGGCTTCAGGCTTGATTTGGCTACTTTAGAAGTCTGTCCTTTCAGGCTAATCAAAACGTTTACACCTACAGCAAAACCAAGTTCTAAACTTCTGAAACTATCTCATAGGTCTAGAGACAGCTGCTTTTTCAGATATCTAACATAAAACAGCTTGAAAAGAACATCGAACAAGTAATTTAAATGTCTCACCATATTTTGCAATCGAGTAACTTCTTCGTTCAACTTGGATATTTCTTCCTGAAAAGCAAGTACAAAATCTTGTCACCAGCAAAGATAGATGAAATGAATCTATAGACCTAAATTAAAATATCAATCAATAATCCTCATTTTAAACTTGAAAAATTATCTCTCACATGTTTATAGTGGGATTTGGTAAGAGAACGACTGAAACCATTTGCTCTCTTTTGAAGAACAGACAAGCGTTAGTCTTAACCCCCAACTCCGACAAAATGACCTGACTGTCAACAATTCTTTAAGAAATCCGGTATGTTAGACAGTAATGCTTCACTTCCCTTATGGAATGAAACCCACACACCAATGCACGTTGATAAATCAAAGCAAGTGTTCTTCTTTCCCACATAAAGGATGCAAAACACATGTACGTCACCTTCGTTAGGTGATTTAGAAATGACTTGCATAAAGCTTATGCAAATTAACACTCATTCAATCTCCGAAACATAATCCAAAGTATGTGACACAAAAATCACAATTACTGCTCCCTCATAGATCTTTGTTTCAAACGCCAAAGAATAAAAGCGAAATTCAAAACCTTTTCGATTTCAATTGATAAAAAGGACAATCAAATAAAACCAAAATGTTAACGTAATCTTACCTCGTGCTCGCGTACTAGAGTCTGGCGATCCCAAACAACTAAGGTGCCGAAGACGAAAACAATAAATAGCAACGCTAATCGCTTCGGTCTCTTCAAATAATACGCCGGATTTAAATATCTCCACCTGTTCGACGACGACCTACTACTCCTCGCCATTATCTTCAAATATGTTCAATTTCTCCTTTTTTTAACAAAATATAAACAATCAATTCAGAAAATTATAATTTCTGATTGATCAAGGCAAAAGATCACACAACGATCTCTCTCGCGCATACCCAAAAATCTCTCATTACGAAAAATATTCAGATTTTCCTGAGAAACGGGAGAAACGAAGACGAGTACCAAGAGTCAAGAATTTTATTCATCTAGCAAAGCATTTCCATACATATAGCTATGTACTAGTTCATTTTTCTTCAAAAATAATTTTCAACATCTACTCAAAATTTTTTTCACACATTCACCAAAATTTCAGTTGTAACGAAATCTTATCAAAATATCTCGACCAAAAATGATAGTGTAATAAGTTGGAGACTTGGAGGGTGTTTGACAGATATTTAAATTGGATTAAAATTAAAAAATTAATAGTTATTGTTGATTTTTATTAGATGAGTGGGACCCAATACCGACTATATTTTCAATTTTAATTGGATTTTGAGCCGTACCAAACAGGGAGTTATCTCACTGAATTTTAAAATATTTTAGTATTTACTAACACGTTGCACCATTTTTCATAAATCATTAAACTTTAAAATATCGCACGTTGCACTGTGTCACTTATTCACCATGTTTCATAAGTTATTAAACCATGCTTTCGTGTGAACGCTATCGTTGAGGGCTTGTTTGAACCTCATTTTTTTTGTGTAGAATGTATTTTGAAATAGTGGATTGATGAAAATGTGTGATTAAAAATGAACGAAATTTTTTTTGGTAGTATGTAATATTATTTTATTGAAAAATGTGTTGTTGAAAAGAAGAGAGAAAAATATTTTTAAAAAAATTGGGATCAAACAAGGTCTAAATTTTAACACGTTGCACTTTATCGCACAGCCCCTATGTTTCATTAGTGGCTGAACTTATATATTCTTCACATTTTACTCACTGAATTTTACAATGCTTCCGAATAGTCACTAAATTTCATAATATTTTCTTGTAAAGTATATGAGATTCGACCAAGATGAAGAAAATAAATATCAACTTAATAATGAAACTCTCAATCTAACACAAGAATATTGATATTGGTCAAGAAGATATAGTTTCTCTTGTCATCAAAAGTTATGTTCAAGGGGAGAATCATAGCTTCAAATTGACATAAACCCTAATTTAGATCATATTTTTCCCTTACGTCGAGAATATAAAATAGATAAATCATGTCTTTATTTCGATTGAGATCATAAATCCAAATTAAAAAATATAAAAAAATTATATCTCAAACATATAGTGAAATTTTTCGATTTAAAGTCAATAATATTAATCAAGACGAGTAAAATATAATTTTAGAGTTGTCACAAAGTAATTCAAGAGGAAAGAAGGGTCCCATCTTCGTGTATGGTATTTTATGCTTCAAAAATTTTAATTTTTGAATAATTGGATTCAGCTAGTAACGTTCAATGACCACTCAAAAGAATTTTAAAATTCAGAGAATAAAGCGTAACAGATGTATAAGTTTAGTGACTAATGAAGCATGGTGCATTAGTGATGGAATGCCACGTGTTAAATTTTAGTGATCACTCGAAAATATTTTAAAGTTCATTAAAAAATATTTAAAAATACATTTAGAAAAGGTTGACGTCCTGAGAGGCTAAGGGGTTTGATGGTCACATGGTACGGTCATTTGGGAATAAATGGTGCATCCATTAAAAAATACGAACTAGTGTGTGTTTGAGTCACATTATTTTGAAAGAATGTATTTTGGAATAATAGAGTGATGGAGAATATGTTGTTGAATAAAAAGGAAAAGTTATTGATGTGATGGAAAATATTATTTTATTGAAGAATGTGTAATTGAAAATGAGTAGAAGAATGAAAATGAAAATTTTAATGTGGTCCAAACGGAGGCTGAATTTGCATTGTACGGTAGACTCGAAAGAAATTGATATATGTGTTGTGGAGTCCTAGATAATGTTCTCTCCTGTTCCGCTTCATCTTATTTTCGCAGGTGTGACCAACACTACAACCTAGATAAATAATATTTAAAATGATGAAAAGAGGGTTCCAACTTGCCCCCCTAAAAATCAAAAATTTGAAAGATTCTCTCTATAAAAATGTATGATATTGAAATAATATTTGGGATCGAACTTCTCAAAAATTGAAATAATATATTCCATCGAAAAATAACTTCCTTTAAAAAGGACTCCAAAACATTAATCTCACTATTTCTAGGAAAATTAATTTTTAAACACGCTCAAAATTCCGAAAAGAGGGAATATCCTTTCGAAATTAAGAGGAAAACTTCTATCGTTGACTTTAAAAAATACCAGTCTATTTTTTTATCAAAATAAAATAATATATTTAAACGATTTAACTAATATGAAAAGGAAAAATATCAAATAGACACGTCATATTTAATCTGAGCCATTGCTTAACTCATGTTTAAAAACTATTTATGGTTAATAATTAAAAATGATGTGGCCAGATGATAGCTCGAATGTTGGTGTTGAGGTTCGAACCCTGATCAATTATGTGCTCTCAGTGTTCGCTGATACACCTTTTTATTAGTGGAGACTTTTTTATGAAATGATGACACGTGTTCAAATTTTGGCATTTGGATTCTTATGTTATTGATATGTGATATATATACGTGCACAGTGCTGGATATTTTGGGACTTCAGCGTTTCGAGATTCTTCTAACTTCTAGGTTCTTCTAAGAGACGTGTTTTCTTCCTGTGGATCAGGGTTTGATCTGTGTGTTCTTCATCTCTTTTGATGAACTTGTAAATTGAGATCATTACATATTTTCAGCCTCTGCAATCTGTAGTTTCTGAGTGATTGCTATGCAAAAAAGGATTTTCTTACGGTTGCGATTTCAGTAAGCGATTGAGAAGTTTTTTAAGTGATTCTTCAAAGATCTGCAGTTTCTTGATGAAGAGATAAGTGTTCTATGCTTTTCTCTTGTGTTGGAAGAACGTTTTGTAACTTGTTGTCATTTTTGGGCTATATAGTGCAATCGAGCAGATATCAATTATTTGGATGCTCAACAGGGAATGTAGGTGTTAGAAGCGGTCACTGAACCTCTGGGCCTTATGTCGAAATAATTCTTTTTGTTCAATCTTTAATTTTCTGCAAGTTTATTTTCTGATCGATTGATATTTGGTGGAAACTTGTTTTAATATCGTGTGTTGTGGGCCTTTTCAATTGGGAAAATAACGATTTTCATAGAATATGTTGGAAAGAATTGGTGATTTTTGTGTAAATAAATTAATAATTAGCATAACAATTTTAAACATAAATATAAGTAATATAATTTCAAAAATAATATAAACATAAGAAGAAAGTTATGAAAATAAGTCTTAGCGAGTCACGTCAATAACGTTATCCTAGAGTCGTATTACCTCCCATTCGTACAGTTTTTTTCGACACTACACAACTTCAAGGTAAAACTCGTATGGCCGACAATCAGTTCTCTTTTTATGGACACGACCATAGAGAAATAAAGAAAGAACCTTGTTCGAGTTACCAAAATAATATAAAATGTACAAAGAACATTATTTCAAGCTTTGAAAAGCAATCCCTTTTAAAACACTATGAATTTGTACGACGAAAAGTAGGTAGTTTAAGGTCCTCTAATGGCTGAAGTCAAAATATAGTGTAGCCGAGGGTTTCGAACTTGCCAATTTAAATTATACCAGATATAATGGTGGATGGAAATCGAGAAAATGTGATGGATAAACATCCGTATCAACCATCTTCTCACGATGTTTAATTCTATCAAAGAGAAATTGCAAGATCATATATCAAGTTGAATATCTTTGAAATTGTTGTAACATAAATGTTAATAAGTTTTAAATTTCGAAATTAAAGGTAATTTTAAATTTCAGTTTGCTATTTTAATTTACATTTTAATACAAAATTAAAACTCGTGATTGATGGATTATAGCTTATACTTAAATTGAATTTATTTTCATGAATGTAGGGGTTGGTGATTTCATTGTTTGATGAAATATGAGAAAAATACAAATTGAATGAATATCATATATACATTCTATATTTCTATAGTTTTGGCACTTCAATAAAGACTTGTTACTTATCTCCATGTGGTCGTGTTCACAGAAGGAGAACCGGTTATGAGCTTGTTTCGCGCGGGTTATCGCTAACAATTAAAAATAAGTTCAGACGATTGTGTAAGGAACAAATATCTTGAGACAAAAATCCCCAAAATGGGTGCTTTATTTATGAATATTACAATTGGATAGAAGCAAAACGCCTCCAAGGAACACAAACACACAAAGTAAATTGAAAGTTTGCAAATATAAAGTAAATGAATTGAAATTACATATTCTCTGTTGAGAGTGTTTGATTCAGAGTTTTTCCTTCTATGTCTTCTTTTCATTTTTATACTCCTTTGCCGATTTTCTCTTGTAAAACTGTTTGGAAATTGCTTGATGCTCTATAACTACCTACTTTCTTTATGATGGCGACTTGTCAAGGAACCGCCGTTCGCAACTGTTGTTATTGCTCTTGTTATTTAACCCCTTATAATCGAGATTTTTGGATCGTGGGATGTGGTAAGGTTGCTCCATAACCGCTTCAATAACCGTCGTTTTAAGTAATCACAAGACACCGTATTCGCTCAAATCTTGAGTGACTCAAAGGCTTGGGCGAGACTGAGATCATCGCTCTGGGCGATAGTAAGGGTCTTTATTCACACGATCCTGGGCGTCCTACAGGCTTGGGGGATGATAGTACTTTGTTTATGGGCCTCCACTACATTCTACAATGGTCTCATCTTGCCTATATCTTGAACTCCCTAACTGGGCTCCAATTCTTGGATCATTTAATTGGGCTTCATTTTTTTTTTATGTCAACAATTACCCCCCAATATGACTAAATTAATATCGATTATTAATTTTTTGCCATATTCTTCTTTTGTATTTTTGGGCAATACTTGAAATCCCCTAAAAGGACAAAGAATTTCAATCATTATTGCTTCCTTGCTACGT